TAGAACTCTATTTTTTTATAGTAACCTTAATCTTGCGGCTAATGATTGCAATTTTGGCAACGAAGAAATAAGAAATTACCTAAATCACACACACACAGAGAAGATTTGCAGGCATGCCCCAGTTTTCAATTATCAGCCCACCAAACTTGGGAAAAAAGTTTATTGAGATTGAAACCCTAACCCTAATAGTTTGTTGAAAGCTAAATATTATTTCCCTGATCATCTCAACACATTTCAATTTCACTATCTTTAATCGTTAACTTAGGCTTTAGAGAATTAAATCTTCATTAATTAATTTAAACTGTAGACATTTTGTCCAATTATATTAGTTTGTGAGCATTTTATTTTTTATTTTTTATTTTTATTTTTGTGCAGTTATTCAATAGGTAATTTCTACAAATTTTCATCCTATTATGCTCGATTTTTATTAATAAGCGAAGGATTTCTACTGTCGAGACAATGTACTCGACAAATTTATCATTTGGCCTAAGTTATTATAAATTTTATTAATTTTTTTTCTTAAAAAAAAAAAAGATTTTTGCTTTAAAGGGAGCAGCCAACACATTTATTGAACTGAAGGGGAAAATGAAGAAACATATTGGTTGCACTATTTACATTATTTGCATTTAGATGTCCCTGAATTTGGAAATTTGATAAGAAGTATACTGTACAACAACTATAGTACACATGGCCATTTGCTAAAGGAAACATTTTATTTACTCAATTGGGTCACCACTTTTTTTTGCCAATTACAAATTCACATCTTCTCTCCTTTTTAATAAGGCAAAAAGAAAAGATAAAAAATAAAATAAAGAACCAAAATAAGAATAGAGGTTTCAATTCCTACATTAAGATTATACCAAAATTTCAAAATTCAAGAATAAATAAACTCAATTGTAAACCCCTCACAAACCGAAGGATTCGTACTTGACCAAAAACTAAGGGAAAAAATCAAAACTAATCCCACAGATTGAGGGAGTGCCATTTTTTTTTCCAAACGAAAACGATTATCATAAATAGTCCCACAACATTCAAAATACAATCAAAAGTAGTACTTTTGATGCGATTTCGGGTCTGATTTGTACCTACATATCTTATCGGGTCTTTCAAACCCGAAATCGCATCAAAAGTCCTACTTTTGATTACTTTTTTAAAGTGACGGGATTATTTGTGAATTGCTTTTTTTGTGGGACCAAAAATGACACCTCTCAATCTGTGGGACTAATTTTGAAATTTTTCCCAAAAACTAAATACTAAACCATACAAATCGAAAACAATTATTTCCAATAATCCACCCACACATATATATACCAATTCATTATTGCAAATATCAAAGCTCCAAAAGGCCTTGATCAAATCTCAATATAACAAATAATACAAAATACATCCACCACATACACATATACACTCTCAATCCAGTACATCTAAACCCACAAAATAATTTTATTGAAAGAACCCTCCAATCATATGAGAGGCTACCATATATATATGATCTAGCTAGCCAGCTAGATAAACCCATGAAAAAACATGCTCATCAACAAAAATTGACCCAAAAAAAAACAAAAATTTAAAAATCATACCAATTTGAAAAGCCTCTTGCTAGCTGCAACAAACAGCTGATCAATAAGTTCATCAATCATCACCTTTCCCCTATAGAGAGACAAACAAAACACACACACAACACACACAAAACCCTAGCCATAGACCAAGATCATCATCTTAATAACTCACCTTTTTCTTTCTTTTTTTTTTTTGTTATTTTACTTATAAAGGAAATAATATTACTTGAAAATATAATTATTTTTATAAATCTCTCTCTCTCTAGTTATACCTCCCATCAAACCCTCCTCCACTAGGGTTATGGTGATTATATATATCACCAAAAGTCCCTTGATAAGGCACCACTCCACCGCCGCCGGCCGCCGCTCCGGCGGCTGGCTGCGGCGGTGGGTTGAGGTCGGCGGCGGCGGCATAGGCGAGGCGGATGAGATCATTGGCGGCATCGAGCTCTCGTTGGAGTCGTTCGATTTGTCGGTGGAGGAAAGTGATGGCACCGACACATCCGTAAACGGGGTCTCGAACACGAGCCTCCGCCTCGTAGGCAAGGGAGCCGACAGCATCGTCCCGTTGGTGGCTCGGGAGCTCGTTGAGGAGCTTCGCCACGTTGCTAGCGCCGAATATTTTGTGCACGTTGGCGAACTTGTGAGGCTCCTCGGGCGGGAAGTAAGGCGCGAATATGCATCCAGGGACGCATTTCCGGCGGAGGAACTTGCACGCGGCGCACGGCGGAGTGTATGAGCTTGATGATGACATTTTTGTTTCCTTTTTTTAATGTGCAGGAAGACTGTTGTTAGGTAGGACTAACGGTTAGATGAACACATTTTTTTAATAAACATGCAGACCTTTAAATAGTAAGACTACTGTTAAGTAGGACTGAAGGTTAGATGAACACATTTTTTTCTAATAAATATGCATACTTTTAAATAGTAAGACTGTTGTTAGGTAGGACTAAAGGTTAATAAACATATTTTTTCAACAAATATACATACTTTTAAATTGAAATGTCTAAGTATTCTGAAGATAGAATATGAACATAAGCGTTACATTTAACGATATAAGTATGCATTTTTTTGTTATAAGGATACGACGGATCGACGTTTTCTTATAGTCTCTGCTATATAGTTATTAATTATTAATAACCACAGAACAAAAGACCTTATGTTCTTTTGAACCTTAATTATCCTCATGTTCAAATTGAAGTCTTCAACAGGGAAAGAAAGTACAGAAAATAGGGATGACTAACTGTTCAAAAATAGGAAAATGAAAAATAAAAAGCATGAGAATTTTTCAGATAAGGCCTGCACAAATTGCTTTGTAACTGAGATCTGGTTCATTAACTTAATATATATCTCATGTGTACCATTTAACACAAGCCAAAGAAAAAGAAACCCTAATGCAAATTGTTTACTCATTACACTACTTCCCCTAACCTATTGAAATTTTGTGTGTGTGTGTGTGTGTGTGTGTGTGTGTGTGTGTGTGAGAGAGAGAGAGAGAGAGAGAGA